GGTCTCAAACCCCTGGACTCAGGCAATCTTCTCGCCTCTGCCTCCCAAAGTGCTGGGATTACAGGCATGAGTCACTGTGCCCAACTTGATTCTGTTTTCATATAGTGATATCTTGTACAGAAGTCAGCTTGTGAAGTTAGAGCATAAAGACAAAATGTGATTCTGTTGACTTTCATGTGTACATGTGTATAATTGTGTTGTGTATTTGGCAGGCATGAGTTTGTGCTGTACTGGTGATTGATGTCTCACATCCAATGCTAAAGAAAGGTTATAGTCAGAAATGAACTCATTTAATTATGTCTCTGCTTAAAACATGTCCACAAATTTAAGATGATTCCAATTTGTGGGTCCTTATTTCATCAATGGTTTTATCACCTCCTCAAGGCCCTTAGTTAATTCTCTAGTTTTTTTCTGGCCATTGATGCCCACACACTCCTTTTTTGAGACAGGGTCTCGCTATATTGTCCAAGCTGGAGTGCAGTGGCATGATCATAGCTCACTGCAGCCTTGAACTCCTGGCTTAAGTGATCCTCCCACCCCAGCCTCCCACGTTACTGGGACTACAAGTGCACACTTTGCCCTGCTTATTTTATTTTATTATTTTATTTTTTGAGTTGGAGTCACACTCCGTTGCCCAGAATGGAGTACAATGGCATGTCATGGCCACTGCAGCCTCGACCTGCTGGACTCAGGTGATCCTTCTGCCTCAGCCTTCCCAGTAGCTGGAACCACAGGCATGTGCCACAGTACCCCCAGCTGATCTTTTGACTTACTGTAGAGACAAGGTCTTGCCATGCTGCTCAGGCTGGTCTCAAACTCCTGAGCTCAAGTAACCCTCTCACCTCTGCCTCCCAAAGTGCTGGGATGCTGGGATTACAGGCATGAGCCACAGTGCCCAGCTTAATTTAATTTAATTTAATTTTTTTTTTTTTTTTTGAGTTAGAGTCTCACTCGGCCGCCCAGACTGGAGTGCAGTGGTCCCAGCCACCACAGCCTTGACCTGCTGGGCCCTGGCGATCCTTCCGCCTCAGCCTTCCGAGTAGCCGGAATTACAGGCATGCGCTACCACGCCCAGCTGATTTTTTGATTTATTGTAGAGATGTGGTCTCGCTGCCCAGGCGGGTCTCGAACCCACGGGCTCAGGCAGTCCACTCACCTTAGCCTCCCAAAGGCGTGGGATTACAGGCTGAGCCACCGAGCCTGGCTGATTTTTTTGATTTATTGTAGAGATGAGGTCTCGCTGCCACGTTGCCCAGGCAGGTCTCGAACCCGCGGGCTCAGGCAATCCACTCACCTCAGCCTCCCAAAGGCACGGGATTACAGGCTGAGCCACCGAGCCCGGCTCAGCTTAATTTTAAAAACATTTTTTTAGAGACAGAGTCTCGCCATGTTACTCAGGCTGGTCTCAAACTCCTGGCTTCTAGTGATCTACCTCAGCTTTCTGTTAATGGGATGACACCATGAACCACCTACTTTTTAAGTTTTGCCGACAAGTATTGACCTTAGCTGGGGACACCATCAGGTGCTTGTGGGTATGCTGAGGCCTGCTCTGTCTCAGTCTCCTTTTTATCTGTTTCCAGCACGTAATAACTAAGTGCACCCATCTGCAACTCCACTAGTTACAGGGAAGAGTCCTGAGGGCAGTCTACCAAGATGATAGAACCATGTTAGGAAGGAGAGAGCAGGGTTGGCTGGCTTGCTTTTCTGTCCTCCCCCCAAAAATTGATCCTAGTTGTGTTACTACTTGTAACACAAGTCAATAAACTTCACTTCCTCCCTATAAATAACAAGAAGCTGGAGTTTGACTGAACCCCAGTTAATCAAATGGTCACCAATATCTGGATTTCTGCGTAGAAGGGCCTAGGCGAAACTGCGAAGGGACAGGAAGCAGGTGTGTCGAGGAAGGGCTTGGGGCTCAGGTGACAAAGCTCTATAGCCATGACCCGGTGTCAGTGTCTTCCAAAGCTGGATGCTCTGGTAGGACACTGGACCAAGGAGCAGGGCAGCTTCCAAGAGAGTTTGCTTCCGGTGAAAATCACAGCTTGTGAAACTTCCCCCAGCTGCTGGAGCTGAAGGGTTGTGTAATTTCTAGAGATCCTAAAATAAGTTTCAGGTCTGTTGCCAAGCCTCCCTGTACTAGCATGACCTTGCCCCTGATACACTTGGCTCTCCTGCAAGAGGCAGTGGTTTCCTGCGATTGATGAGCAGGGTCTCCGTGAGCACTTTTCCTTTTATCTTGCTGGAACACACTCAGGGGATGGGGCTCCCCCTACCAGATGGGATGCCAGAGAGGCTTCAGAGGGTCACCCTGTGAATGCCACATTTGTTGACGGAGTCCCTGTTGTATGACTGTCCATGAGTAGGCTTGAGGTGGTGCCGGATCTGGAAGACAGCTAAGGGTGGCTGACTCCTCCAGCAACCTCGCCTTCCCCCTCCTGCCGGCTGGCTCTTCTGCTGGACTGGAATCTGCTGCCCTGCCCCAGTTGTCGAGGGAACTACTCCGTTCAGTGGCACCGGTCCCTGTGTGTGAAAGAGGATGCTGCTTCCTATCCCAGCACCCAGTGGGCAGAGCCCCGAAGTGGCCCCACTCCCTGCCATTCCTTCCTCCACACGCCTGGGTCACGTGGCTCTTAATTCAGCCTCTGCCATACGGTTCACTCTCAGGCTCTGAGAGGCCAAGTTTCCCCAGAGGTACAGAGTCAAGGTCGCCTGCCATCACTGGGTCCACAGAAGAAACTTCTCCAGTGGAAGTAGAGCTTCATGCCGGCCCTGAAATTCAGGACTGCAGCGTCCAGCAATTAGTGCCTGGCGGAGGTCAGGTGTGCTTGAGAATAAGAAGAGTCTTTCAGTATATTAAGGATCTGTCCAAAATTGACACAGCTCATTCCCTGCCTTCTTGCTGTCGAGCTATTTCAATTCCTTAAGGCCCCACCCTACCCCCCATGCCTTGCAGACCTGGAGTGGAAGATCATTTACGTTGGCTCAGCTGAGAGTGAGGAGTTTGATCAGATCCTAGACTCGGTGCTGGTTGGCCCCGTCCCCGCAGGGAGACACATGTTTGTCTTTCAGGTAAGAAAGTTGAGGCCTCAGGCCTTCACTGCTAGAAACATCCTCTTTTCACCTGAAAGCACACAGTGGCTCAAGAATCAAAAGTTCAGCCGGGCTTGGTGGCTCAGCCTGTAATCCCACGCTTTGGGAGGCTGAGGTGAGTGGATTGCCTGAACCTGCAGGTTCAGGACCCACCTGGGCAACTTGGCGAGACCTCATCTCTACAATAAATCAAAAAAATTAGCCGGGCGTGGTAGTGCGCGCCTGTAGTTCCAGCTACTTGGAAGGCTGAGGCAGAACGATCGCTGGAACCCAACAGGTCGAGGCTGTGGTGGCGGGGAGCGGCTACTGCACTCCAGTCTGGGCGACAGAGTGAGACTCCAACTCAAAAAAAAAAATCAAAAGTTCTGGGTCACGCCCTCTCTCCACTGTAAGGAGCTGTCTGACCTCTTCAGACATCTCCCTCTCCCCACACATCTGTCGAATTCTGTGAGCCACTGATTTGCAGTCCATTGTTGCTGTTCACAGAAGCCATGTTTCTATAAAGTTTTGCGAATACTGAGTTGGTGAATACTGAATCATTCCCTCCAGAGGACACACCACAGGGCTAGGCTCTTGCCAGTCAGGTTTTCATCAGCCAAACAACACATAAACTTGTCTTCTGTGTATTTGTGTTTAAAGACACCTGACTGAGTCTGACTATGTGCTCATTCCCATTGAACTCATGGCCAGCAGAACTGTAACTCGGGCCTGAGTGACACTTCTCCATCACTCATTTTCCCCGAAAGGCCTTTTTGCACCCCAGGGAGTCCCTCAGCACCACTCGTGGGGCTGTTATAGACAGCAGGCTTAACCAACAAAAAGCACAAAACATGTAGAAAGATCAGACCGGGTCCTCAGTTATGAAATAAGTTGACTGCGAAAAGGGCACGTGTTCATAGTGAGAGCTGAAGCAAGAAGACAGGACTCTGGTGGGACATGTGTGTCAGGTGACTCCAGGTTTTCCCTGCTTGGTTGTTTCTGCAGTTGACCACAAAAGTGCCGTGAGTATTGGTTTTGGAGTTAGAGATGAATTTAGCAAACAGGCGGGTTTGCAGTTCCAGAATCCGTGAATCCTGAGGGTGGACTGTCATCCCGAACGGCTCTACCCAGCATCGCCTGGCTTGCGAGAGATACGGCTTCCAAGCTCTTGGGTGTTTCTCATGCACACTAAATTGGAAGAGCCTCTGCCTTAGCCTCCATCTTGTCTGCTGCTGCTGCTGCTATCCTAACACAAGCTCCCACCTCCCACCTAACCCTTTACCCCCATCATCAACTCCACTGACAAGCCCCATCTGCTCATCAGTCAGGGCTGCTGTCTAGGCTGCTGCATTGCGGTCACACTTGTGTGAGGTTCTCATGCCACTGTCTGGAACACAATGGCTTCTGAACAAGGGGCCCCATGTTTTCATTCTGCACCAGTCATGTCACCCGCCTTACACGAGGAGCATACCCCAAATCCATCCACTTCTGCTGCCAGGATGAGGCCACTGCCTTTCTCTGGGGTGACTACTGTAGCCTTCTGCTTCTGCTTCAGCCTCCTCACATCACAGCTCCACATGCCACCAGAGACTTCAGGCCACAGGGGTGATGTGGCACTTGCCCTTCCCCAGTCCTACTGCCCTGGTCCCTGCCTGCCCACCTGCTCAGCCCCCTGCCACTTTCCTTTTGCTCACCACACCCCTCCCCCGCTGCATCCAACATTTGGGGTCATTTGTGGATGAATTCTAACTTCCTATTCTGTTGAAAAGTCCTGTGGGCGGAGAGCATGCTTTTGCTCAGTAGATACATGTTGCTTGGGAATTTTGTACTAATAACATCCAGGCATGGCTATGGACCTAAGGCCCAGGATGTATCTCTCCTAGGCTGACGCCCCCAACCCGTCCCTCATCCCGGAGACCGATGCTGTGGGTGTGACTGTGGTCCTCATCACCTGCACCTACCATGGACAGGAATTCATCCGCGTGGGCTACTATGTCAACAACGAGTACCCCAACCCTGAGCTACGGGAGAACCCGCCACTGAAGCCGGACTTCTCTCAGGTGGGGCCCGCCTCTACCCTGCCTGCTTCACACAGGCCAGTTCCTTTGCACTTGGGGGGTGTTGAGCCATTAGAATTGGGAGCCAAGGTCACTTCCTGCAGTTTCCAAGTAGTGCTCAGTTCTTGCAGTGCTGGGCTAGAATCGGCAAGAGAAAGGTCTTTGTTTCTCAGAGACATGCTTTGCATGTGGAGATTAGATAGGCCCTGGTGCACAGGCATGTTCTGGAGTTCCACACATGGTTGGTGGGGATGGAATAAGTGGGGTCTGCCCTTTCTGGGCTCAAGGCTGGAGTTTGGGGCATCCTAGCTCTGGGAGCAGTGAGAGCGCACACTGACGAGTGACATTCGTCTTCCTGCCCCAGCTCCAGCGGAATATCTTGGCCTCAAACCCCCGGGTGACTCGCTTCCACATCAACTGGGACAACAACACGGACAGTCTGGAGGCCATAGAGAACCAGGACCCCGCACTGGGCTGCAGCCTCTCCCTCAGCTGCACTCCCATCAAGGGCCTGGGCCTCCCTGGCTACATCCCTGGTCTCCTCCCTGAGAACTCCATGGACTGCATCTAATGGGAATACAGAGCCTCCCCACCCATCTGGGGGGTCAAACAAGGCCTTCCAGAGAATTTTAAGGGTCTACCAACTGCATCCAGGCCTATCAAGCTTGACCTTAAGGAAAGCTTGGGCCTCGGGTCTCCCCCCACCCTGAGCCAGAAGGATCATCTCACTTCTACTTTGCAGGCCTCTAAGAAGCAGGTACCTCAGTTCTTAATCTGTCTGGCTTGCATCCTTTTTCTCTTCCACACGTGCTGTAAGTTCCACCTGTGTGTCACTGTGCTCCTGTGAGCACCACTGACCCAAAGCTCCTTCCACAAACCTCCCTGGCCTGCCTGGAGGGTTTGCCAGTGCCTGTCAAGGCTCCAGCTCTGTTGGGCTGGGATTCTACCATTCTTTTCTCTTCCCAAACATCTGGTCCCAGCTTTCTGGTATCCCAGGCAGGGAATCCTGGCTAGAAGGTGGACTCAGGTACAATTTCTGTCCTCCTGGGAGGATTTTCAGGTCTTAATTCCAGCAGCCCCTGGAAAACTCTTCCCAAAGTATGATCAGCAGGATGCTGAGGAGCAGTAAATGCTTCTCCTTAGCCACCTTCCTGTTAACTCTTGTATCTAGCTTTCCCTAAAGGCTGCCATGGTGAGGAGGTGATGTGTCACAGGGACTGCTGTGCTCAGTCTGTCTTAGCGATAGTGTCAGAGCCCCTCTGCTAAGGCCACGTGCCTCCCAGGCCACAGAGTGATGATAGGCAAGGGAAGCGATCGGGACCCTGAAAACCTTCCCCAGTGTGCTCCCCTACTCTGCCCCAGATCTCAGCTGCTACATGGATACTATTGTGATTGCAGTTTGTATATCAGAAGGTTTTTATATGAAAAATGTTTAGTTGGTCTAAAAATAAAAAGCACTTCATCTCGATTGACTCTGCTTTTGTCTTTGGGTAGGCTGAGGCAGCTTTGTGCAGCTCTCCTCATGATGAGGGTGGCCTCTTGCCCTGTCTGGTGGGCTAGTTAGCTTCTTACTCGTCTTAATTGATTGTACATTATATTCCAGACTGAGGTTTGGAGAGGGGCTTTTCTTTGTCAAAACTTAGGGAAACCACCTACTCTGTAGATAGATCATGACCAGTGATTTTTCAGACCTCGACCTTGACCTACAGCAAGAAATTAACACCATGATCCAAGTACACACTAACAACAATTGTTTTTATTTTATTTTATTTTTGAGTCAAAGTCTCACTGTCCCCCAGGCAGAGTGCAGTGGCATGCTCACGACCACCGCAATCTCGACTTGCTGAGTTCAGGCAATCTTTCCACCTCAGCCTTCCAAGTAGCGGGAACTACAACATTTTAATAAGTTTTTCTTAACCTTAGTATGTAACCACTCAGAAGTGAAGTGCTTTGACTGGTCAACCTTTTCTTTTTTTTTTTTTTTTTTTCTTTCTGAGTTGGAATCTCTCGCCCAGGCTGGAGTGCAGTGGTACGATCCCACTCACCACAGCCTCCACCTCCTGGGCTCAGGTGATCCTTGCACCTCATCATCCTGAGTAGTTTAACTACAGACGTGTGCACTGTACCTGGGTTTTTTTTTATGTTTTTTTTTTTTTGAGTTGGAGTCTCACTCTGTCGCCCAGGCTGGAGTGCAGTGGCATGCTCACGGCCACCACAGCCTCAATCTGCTGGGCTCAGGTGATCCTTCCATCTCAGCCTTCTAAGTAGTTGGATCTACAGGCATGTGCCACCATACTTGGCTAATTTTTTGAGTCATGTAGAAACAAGGTCTCGCCAAGTTGCCCGGGCTGGTCTTGAACCCCTGGATTCAGGCAATCCTTTCACCTCAGCCTCCCAAAGTGCTGGGATTATAGGTGTGAGTCACCACACCTGATTGGTCAGCCATTTCCCTGTAATTCATACAAGGATCCCAACATCCTACCTAGGACTGGTTGGTCTGGGAACACAGGTACAGACAGCTGCTGGATGGGGTGCAGGTGGAGTGAGCCTAAGCAGAGCAGCATGTTGTTTCGCAATTCCGTGCCCACCTAGCTCTTCTGAGCTGGGGAGAGCTGACTCCACTGGTTCCCGGCCCTCTCACACCTCCTGTCTGGGCATTCCTCTACCTCAGTGATTCTCAACGGGGCGGGGGGGGCAATTTTGCCCCCCAGGATACATTCAGAAATGTCGAGATGGTGGATGCCACAGCTAGCAGGAAGACAGGGGCTACTTGGCATCTTGTGGGTAGAGGCTGGGGTTGCTATAAACACTCTGCAGCGTGCAACACACCTGTGATCTTCCCGCACTGCCATAGCAGTGCAAAGAATGATCCAGCACCAAATGACTGTAGCGTGGCTGTTAGGAAACCCTGACTGTTTTCGGGCTCTGCGTATCCTGAAAGAGCACCCTGAAAGAAGGGGCCTCTTGCCTCTTCTCTGCTCCCAGTGGGCAGGTTCCCTCTGCATGCCCAGACAGGGAATACAGATGGGGACTGGGAGTAATCAGCCTGGCCGTACCCCGATTCCTCGTCCGTAAAATGGGAATGATGACGATGGTACCTACGTGATAGCAGCACGGTGCGACGTAACGTTTAACGAGTGCCAGCACTCAATACGGACACAAGCTGAGGGTCGGGGCCAGCACGGGGCTGGACACCCAGCGCCCCCCACAGCCACCCCTTGCTCCCGGGGCCCAGCGTCACCCTCAAGCACCCCCGACCCGCAGCCTGGCTCCAGCCGGCCTGGCCACCGCGGCTCAGCGGTGCTCAGCGATGAGTGCCGACGGCGGCGGTCTGGCGACCTCTGACCCGCGGCGCGGGCCTCGCCCCTCCCCCTCTGGCAGGTG